CTTGAAATTATACTGAAAGTTCAAGAGCACAGAAGTGTTAGAAGTACCTTAGTTCGAGCATGGGAAGAGTGCAACCTGCAAACAAACTGGGGGAGAAAATAACCATGCTCGAAATAAAACTTCATAAAACTTACACCTTTCACCACATGCTGGAAATACGGTTTGACTATGGATTTCACAGACCGCTTAGATTACTAACTGCTGTAGCCAGGCTTCAGTTATGATAATCTTGATTATCACTGCTCTGTTATCGCTATCTTTTCCAATGCTACTGTATTGTCATTAATCCCTGCTATGTTAGCGGTATTTTAAGTTCATTTGTTCAGGTAGTTTATGCCCGGGAGCTGCAACAGTGGATACATAGCGGGTTATGGATGAACTGCCAGACAAGGTTCAAAGTAAACTTATTTTAAAATGCACCAAACTGTTTGTTAGAGTTTCTAATACAAAATGTTTTAAGCCATTTCTGTTGCGTACAATATTTTCATCAAAGTGGGTTAATTTTGGGGCGACCAGAGTATCTTGAATCAAAGGCTTCGATTTGAAGTGACTATTTTTTATCAAAGATTGAAGTTTCGAAACGTAGTAAAAATCTGTTTGGAACGGCGCCCGATTAGCATTCGAAACTGATTCCCTTTGCTTGCTTGCTTTTTTTTCACGGATTTCGAGACTCCTTGATTCGCCTGTACATAGACTAATCTTGCACTCCTATCCCTTCTTAGAGGTCTTACGCTTTATATTATTTAACCTGCTGTTGCTACTGTTTTGATTCCCCTGGTGACTGTGAAAAAAGCATATTTCTCCATCTGGATTTGCCTAGTTACTTGATATGTGAAAAAAAATTAATTGTCAGACGTAAACTCTGCTAGGAAATGAGCTATAATAGGCTGCTAACGTTATTCTGTCAAGCTCGAAAATCGAGCGAAGTTTAGTGAAAACGAAAAATATTTTCATCTTTAAATGTTTTTTCATTGTGTGCTTCAAATTCTGTTTAATGAAAATGAAATGTTTAGTGCCCAAGAATGAGTAATACCGAGAAATGTCTTACATAGAAAATTTTAGCTATAAAATTCGAGTTTTGTAGGCCATCTGGAATGCTCTCTTGTACTTATACGTTTACCAAGAACGATATTGACTTCTATACAAACGCTCAAGTGGTCAATATCAGAACGCCTCCATTCTACGGTCGGTTTGTCAGCCTCCCCATGAAAAGCACATTTTCTCTACGATGATCTGAACATTCCAGCGCTGTCTGGCTGAACTTGCTGAGATCGAAATGAAATTGTGTGCAAAAAATGCAGTAAATCCAATACGAAGGGGACTGAGTCAGATTGGCTAAAACGTAGAACCAAAGCCAGGAATTCAGTTAACTTGGAGAAATCAGAATATGACATTTTCAGAAAAAATGGTCTAAGTAACGTTTCCGTCCCCAGCCACAGACTGAGCTTCTGCCATTTATTCGTTTTGCATCTGTACTGCAGCGTTTTAGCACTAATCTGTTGATCTTATAAGCTTGAGTTTTTCCAGATCTGCCTGTATTATTTTCTGCTTCCAGGCCCAAAAATTCCCCACCCCAGAATAATCGGGCCTGTTTGACTTTATTGTAATGATTACTCCAGTAAGAGTGCTTCGTATCTGAAGAATCTACGAGAGTTGTTATCCAGAGTCTAGTTCTCCATGTGTGAAGCTATCTATCTTTCCAATTGATCTGAGCAGTGCTTCATCGCCTGATGGTCAGTTTGTTGACGATTCTGATATCCGTTTGTTCCCTGGAGGGCTAACTGACAAGAAGTGCTTTCTGTTGCTGCTTCTTACTCACTTCAGTTGTTTGTTACTTTTTTTGCCCGGTTAAATTAAGGAAACTCAGTCCAGTGAATTGTAGATTGGCAACACAACTTACTGTATGTATTGTTATTTGGTCAATTTTTTGCCTTATTTGCGCTGGTGTGCTTTTGTTATTCGCAAGCGGCTGATGTTAGCAAGAATGCGCCTTTCCTCTTCACCATTGCTATCGGCATTTCCGGTAGGTCACTTCGTCTATCCCAAAATTTTAACTTTGCTGAAAAATCCAGTCTCTCTACAAATCATTTCAAAAATCGAAGCCTCCTTACTGTCTGTGAGATGTGGAATTAATCGGGAAATAGCCCAGTGGTAGCAAATGCTAAAAACAGCCATCTGCTGGCAAGGCTGTAATAGGCTTCATCTATTGCTTATAAGCAATCTTATGGCGGGGATAGTCGATTGTTCGTTTAAATTCACACTAGTTTGTGAGAGTTTGTTAAAAAATAAGATTTCTTGCAACATTTTTTCGGCTAGTATTTTTCACAAAACGAACCACAGACGGTAATGCTTAAATATATGTGCTGTCTGTAAATAGACGCCTTTAGGGATGTAGTAGCTCCTTTCCAGAAGAGTGGTGCGCAAGGATTCAAAACTGTTTTTGCGAGGGCGCCTAATAAATTTACTTTGCAAAATTCGAGCTCAGACACCTCGTCTGGAATGAGGCAGCGAACCGGATAGTTACAAATCCTTGCAGTTCCAAGCATGCCAAAAGACACTGCATCGCATTTTGTTCGGCTAAGTTTGAGGGCACAGGTCACTTTAATTACCAAATAGCAGTAAAAATAAACTCACCGAAAATTAATTATTATTACAGCGCTGATCAACATTGGCTGCAACGTTGCGTTTCAAATATTCGCTCACATGGTCGAGTACAGGTTCTATCACGTTAGCGTTAGCGGCATTTATGAGGTAAACTTTTCTAAATTTTGTTGCTTGCCAGAAAATCATTTTTGACTTAAAAAGGAGGTGAGTTTTCTAACATCGCCGCATTTCACTGTGTATTGCAGAAGCAAGTTGGTTATTCGTATTTTGTACATTTGACTGGTTCCCTGCTATTGTTACTGTCTTTCCTATTCTCACTTGCTTATATCGTGGTGCTCTATAATCGTCCGGATGTCGCTCGAAACAATCGAAGCGTTGGCTTCTCCCCTTATCAGGCATGCCATTCTTCAGCATTTTTCAGTCGTCTTTTACAATTTCATCTCTTTGTGGGCTTTGCGCTGCAACAGCGACACAAAATGGATTTGCTGTTGAAATCCTATATGTGTGTGCATTTTTTCTGGACTTTGTCAGGGTTTTCGATTCAAAAGTTGAAAAAGCAGAGGAGACAAAATTTCAGGAAGATGCCTGTTGCTCAGACGACCACGTAAATTCCATTCTAGTTCTATGCGGGCTTAGGCTTCACATATAGACACACGAAAGTTTTGGCGAGGACTTGTTGGCATCTTTCTAGCTCATCCCGAGCTGAACTACACAAAACGCATGTTCGCATTGGGTATTTGGTGCGCGCCGCTATTTTTACGCTTATTTTTCTTAAAACATTTACATTGCTTTATCTGACCACTGACCTGTCTACCATACATACGCATGTTCTGTCGAGCTACTTTGCCGATTTAAACCATATCCGCTTGATATTGCCTATTGTGAGTGGTTTATTGTCTCGTATCACATTAGCATAACTCATGCTAAGCAGGCATACATCTCATAGTATGTAATTCTAGTTCGGCCAGTTGTGGCAATTTTCCCGCATTCTTGTGGTCAGTTCATGTAAACACCATTTTGAATCTAAAAAACTTCTGGGAACAATCAGTCCACTTCGATTTGCTCCGATGGTACACGGGAGGACTGAATTGCTCATTACAAGCATCGTTTCATGAGATGACATGCTTCCGCGCGAGCAGTTCAACTATTTACACAAAAGCAGCAAAGCTACTATTTACACAGTGGCACTAAAATGTGCCGGCGGCTGTCCCCTCGTATATGCAGTGTTCGCTTTCACGTCTTTTTGTTGACTTATTTCGTAACTGAAATTGAAAACATCATCATTATTTTCAGGTTTGTCAGAATCGCCATCCTCAGGAAGATTTTTTCGCAATGCGTGCCTTGCCTGAACTGCCTCCAAAATACCGAAAATGATATTCATATTCTTGTTATTCCGTTGTGAACGTATTCTATGTAAAATTTTTACATTGCCTTGAAATCAGGCCGGTAACACTGTGCTGGATACCATAATTATAAAAACCCTCGTGCTGGTCTTCTAAGTCGTCTCAGTGGACCGAAACATTCCTATTCAGTTGTTTACAGTGTTTCACATTTTTGCGTTAAGCGGCGTACCCCTCGAACTCTTTTGTTTTATTCCTGCGCATAGCGATTTATCCTTTACTTCAGTTGTCATTTAAGTTATAATCCGCAAATACTGATAGCTAATGCGCTACTTTAAAATTTATTCCAATTGGCCATGCTTTGCCTGCAGGACACTAGTACGCTAACGGGCAGTACACTGAATAACGCGTATCTCTGTACTGAACATCTCATTGGACATCACCATATTAGGGTATTTCATGTGCCGCCATGTTGGATGCAAATATCTGGATCTACATCCTGCAAAGCTCACTGTCGAAATATCCCTGTTTAACGCCGTTTTGCAGATACCACGATTTTGTTGGGTCCATTTACCGCACTCTAACAAAGATAAACACAGGAGGGGAGCTCTTCCAGATGAGGAAGGGGCGAGCGAGTTGAACCTTGCTCCAAATATGAAATCCTCTCATCCGTTCAATTATAATTCAAATTTAGGGCATTTTGTTTCGCTCTGCCAGTTTCTTTATCTGACGACCTGCCAAAGGTCTCTCGGAACTATGATCCATCCGCTTCCCTCAGGGCAGTGATGCCTTTAGGGGTGCTGCAGTTTCTTCGATTTGCCCTCTGGTTCCACTGCTAAAACTGTGAAGTATTATTCAATTGACACATTGTGAGGTTGCAAAGTGAGACTCGTGCTTCAGCTACTTATCTGTTTCTCTATCTGTGCCTCAAGGACAAAAGCTTCATTGTTCCTTTGTAGATGTGTATCTCCTGTTTCGTTAAGATGTTGGGAGAGAAAGAAAGGAGAAATTTATTTCGTAAACAAAGCCAGTTTAATTAGCTGGGTTACGAACTAATGTATGTTTTAAATCCTTTCTGAACGGTGATCATTGTTATTTTTTCTGAGCTTTTTCAAGTTTGCTTTCTCCGACCAACTAAATTCTGCTTTCTAATTACGCTCTGAGATTGCCCATTTGGAAACTAAATTCACCGGCTCATTGCTGGCTCCTCAGTCCGTCTTCATCTTAGGACTTTACTTATTAATGCATCCATAGCTGACCTGGGTGGGCAAGCTGGGTGGCTGTCATTTTTCTCACTTACTTTTTACTGGCGTCGAGGAATTATTCTCCTGGATTATGGTGCTGTGTAGTAATTTAATAGTATTTTTGCCGCGATGTCATTTATCATCACACAGTGTGACACGTCCGGTTTTTCCAGAGCACGCTGCAGCAGTAGCAGCTGATGGCGGGGTGTTTGTTTTGTTACAAGCCCGGTGACTTGTGAATGCAGTCAAACAGGTTCTGTATATTATCGATGTGCATGTTAATGTTCCAAATCGCAAGTTTTTATCTCTCTTTGTTGGCCTGTTTTGTTGGTGCGAGGAAACGATGCTGTGGCGTTCACTATCACGTGAAGATCCCATTTCGGGTGATCAAAAACCTACATATCGTATGCTTAATGTTGATGCCTTCAGGAGCACTTCATTATTATTCAGGATTAAGGTGAAATGGCCGTGATCTAATTTGCAATCTTGATCCGAAATGACTTACTGTTTTTCCAGCCAAATTGATGCTTAAAATGTTGAGCCTCTGCTTAAAATGTCGACCCTTCGGCTCTTTTGAGCAGATCAAGCAGTAGTCATGCTTTTTGACTAAATTGAGCATGTCCTATATTTCAGTAACTTATAAACAGTAGTTAGAGGAGCCTGGCATTTCCTTCCTCTTGGTACTACCGGTTCTGAAGATACCCGGAGTAGATGAGGTTTTGAAGCGGGGGGGGGGGGG